CATCACTTTCTCAAACTTGTTACGATTTAAAAGTTCCAAGAAAGTAGGTAATTTACTTTGTAGAGGAATTATCTTTTATAAATACCGGCACTCGAAATACAGAACAACTTAAGTACTTATTATATTACGGACAGGAATTCTCTCTCCGACGGAACGAATAATGCTCAAAAGCAATTGACGTAAAATACGTGCCTAAAATAGAGCTTCTTTTAAACGAGGTCCCTCTTTGACCGCCTCTGACGTCATCAAATCAAACGGTGCCACATTACGTTCTCAACTAAATTAAACGTTTAATTACGAGTGCTCAATTTTTAGTGACATAAATAGACATAGAAAATAAACACTTTACATTCTTCGGAGATCACTTATATAACCCATAAAATAAACAAAATTCAAGAGATTTTATTTAAATTTCTATAGAATAGGATCATTTTCGCATTGCGTGTGTCAAAGAGGTTTAATTGATAGTTCTCAGAAGTTGTGCAGTAGCACCTCCTTTTCATTTTATTACGTGTCGTTATTGGGCGAATAATTTTACCTTTTATCTATTTCGAAAAAACACAAGGAACATGTATCCTTAAAAGTTAGTTTGTATTGCGACGTAAGAATGTTACAGTCCATTAAAAGTACAAGTAATTTACGGGAGTTTAATGTTTCCATACAAAATAACGTAAACTCGTTTTTAATAGTTGATGTAATGGCATTTTTGAATGTCGACGTTAAAAGGTTTTTATTATGACTCGTCGGTGTTTTTACTCGTTTATACCTTAATACCATATTTAATTGAACTCCAAACAACTTTTATCACAAATAAAGGATTTAAAATTTTAAAATAAAAAAATGTAAGCTACAAAAACTGTGCGCCGTCATATTATGTGCATTTGGTGGTCTTGAAATTATGAAGAACTGTGTGTGTAACAATCTATCAGTAGATTAAGAGAAGATTAGCGCCGAGTGAACACTAGTTCTAATTAAATGACCGTTAAATAGTTTCGTAAGTTGCTCGTAAGTTCGTAAGTACAGTTCTCGTATGAATCTCACACTGAGGGGCAATTGAACAATTCTGAGTGTGACAATGTTACTTTAGGGAGATTTATTCTGAGTACGACTGGGACAGTTGGCGCTTCTGAGGCTGCGGCGTGTTCACAAAGGAACGTAATTACGCAACAACAAACGGCGCCCGATTGCGCTTTACTCAGTTATGTCCGTCACCGAACAATAACGGCTTTACATTGTACATCAATTTATTTTGAATGTCACATGTACGCTATATATTAACGTACTGATAATCTCATGTGACCAACATACATAATACAACATATAATACATATCACTGTATTATTGTATAATATACAAACTGTATTTATTCAAATAAAAGATGCTGCAATGGGTAAATAAAAAAAAGTATGCGTTCTACTCCTACTACCTTTACATATAAAACAGAGTAAAAACAACGCATTATTTTTTTAAGAAAAAATCTCACTTACAAGTAATTAGTGTAAATGCTATTAGAAAAGTTTTTTCGAGCGAACAAATAAACGCAATAAACCTCAATCTGGCGATAAAAGTGAAACAAACAGTTGTAAGGTAAAGTAAGTTTAGTGATTTACTGTGGGCTGGGTTCTTTCATCTGGAAGTAACCGTTCAGAAATCACATTAAGGCAACGGACGCACTCGGCTAGAACTACCATCAAATAAATTTAAATCACTCGAGATCGCTCTTGGAACATTTTATCCTTTCCTTTTTATTCCTATCTCTCTGCATATATTTCAAATGGACCCTAAATCAATAATATAAATACTGGTCATCGATTTCGGTATTGTATTATAGTACTATAACTTACTATTTTTTATTTATTATATAAAGTATATGAAAACAGACCATCTAAATAATTTAAAGATTGGATAATAAAAAAAAAAACAATTCAATATAAATTGCTTAAACAGGGAAAGAGGGTTGAAGCTCGTAGGCGTGTAATCCGTAGGGCTGTTATTTGTAGACATATAGCTCGTAGAGGTGTAGCTCGTAGACCTAAATCTCGTAGACGTATACATTTCTGCTTTGCCTATGATCGGAAATATGATACACATCCTTACATGGACTTGCAATACAATCTTATATTTTAGCGGATAGTACTACAAAATTGTATAATCACTAAAAAAATAAAAATATTAATATTAACAGTAGTCGTGTGGGAAGAATTCCTTAAAACAAATAAAATAGAGGCCGTGCACCTTTTGTTGGTCACGGCAATTAAAGTCGTAATGTAAATAGCAGACCGGCAACAAGTGGGTCACCGGGGCCACCGCACCCCGCCCGCACCCCCCTCTTTCCGCCACCGCATACGCCAGGGGCGAGTGCGAATGTTCATGACCTACTTTATCGTGATAAAAATCGCTACGCCCAAATCTTGTTTACATTTAAATAATCGCAAAAATATTATTATTTTCGTTAAGTGTTTTCATCATTTAAATTCAACACAAATACTTTTGTTGTTCTAGTTAATAAACCAATAAGAGAACGGCCGTATGATTTTTTAATCAATAATCTCTCATCTAACATCATATGATTCTTTTTCTAAATGGCATTTGTAGGTACTTACCCAGAACATCTACTGGTAAATACCAGCATTGAAAAAAAACAACAATGATATATTGTATTCAACAAGAGAAGACTGGAAGGAATGATTTTTAAAACAGTAACATGTCCTTAGATTTGTAGCGACAATAAAAACAGCTGGAAAAAAGAACATACCCAATAATTACACAAAAGGATGTCATAGGGTGCTTTAATAATCATCGTTTCCTGTTTCAAGTGCCTTAGTCATTCATTTTCTAGTAACAATTATTACCCTAAACAAGAGAAACTTTACAAACTTTCTTTGTTTTTAGTTGACTTCAAAAAGGAGGAGGTTCTCAATTCGTCCGTATGTTTATTTAATTTTGCTAGCTAGCTACGGATAGAGTCGTGATACAATTAAAACGACAAACTCTATCAGGTTTCAAACCCCAAGAGAAAGCTAGCGTCACTTTGGCATGGTTCCTTTGGTTACAAAATTCAATAACACCGGAATAGTGGAAATTCTTGAGGAATTGTAATGGCCGTGTACAATCCCTATAGACTACGCTATTTTGGATTCTTAAGTCCACTTATTTCGAAATAAAAAAACATAAATCTTATGGAAATAAATACTTTGCAATGTGAATAAAATATGTCGTCAAACTACAGACATGTAGCAACTAAATATTCAATACATCTTTGTATAAAATATCCTAACGGCTCTGGTTGTTGGTGGAAACATTTTTTTTGTTTTAATTAATTACTGCTTAAAACAATGTCGCTCACATTTTCTTTACAATTAACTTATCTAAAAGTGAACAAAACGTACATTCAACAAGATCTATACATATTTTGCGCCTGCCTAGGCTGTGTCTGTTTACGACATTACACAATCTCCGGCCTTACATTTTCGGATCACAGGCAGCAATTTCGTATTACTACTTCCTTTACGAGTTAGCTTTAAAGCTTAAATAGTTCCTTCCAGCTATACTCATAAATCAAACATCTAAATCATTATGTTTATTATTACGTGTACCGAAAACTTTGTACCTCTCGTTTAAGAAATTGCTCAAACAAATGAACGTGAAATTTGACAGGAGCAAAAGCGCATCAATCTATTTTTTATCATAAATTAAAAAAAAACTTCGATTCTGGATTATTGTTTCTTATGAACAATGGGCGAACAACTGTTCGTTAAATATATGTATGTAATATAACTCTATGCCTCTAACAAGAAATACTACGATCTAAAAACTGTGAAAAACAAAAACAGAACGAAAAATGTTTTATCCAAAAACGGATATATCATTCGTTTAGCATTATGATTTGACATTTTGCAGTATCATCAGCATAGGTTGCTTATTGCTGAGCAAGTTTCGTCGGAAGGCACCTTGCCAGGAGCGGATATAAAAAGCTCGCTGAAGTTCGGGAGACGACATTATTGATTTTCCCGTCTCCTAGAGCTTTCATTCCCCATCTGTTGCGTTCCATAAAATTTACGACACCATTACTGGGTCGTTACTTTTGTATGGAGAGTTTTATCACTACACGATGTCACTCGCCGCGAACACACTTTTTTTATCAAATTTTTGTTATGTGATTTTGATAGTAATTATATTTTTACAATCTTTATTGTTGTTAGAAGACAAAAGGCTCAGCTAAAGGCTAAAAAAATATCGTTAATATTTACAGTAAAAAAACTTAAGCCATCTAACGTATTCTGTGGATCAGACTATTTTGAATATATAAAACATAATAGGTTTAATAATAATCAAACTGCAAAGTCAACAATCACATCTTATTACTTTACTAAATTCTACTGAAGTTGGTGCACGACTAAGCCCTCTTAGGAAAGTCAATATTGCGGTACGTTCCGAGTCCATATCCCTAGGGACCTTCATTTAATGTTACTTTTAATACATTTTAACTATAAGCTTGTGGTCACTTTCCGCAAAGTGTAAACATTTCCTTAATTAATCAAATTCGTGAGACATATTTTGAAGTGATTAGAGTCGTTTTAGGAAGACTATTACTAAAGTGTCCATTAAACTTTCCTGAGTCCTGCAAATTTTTTGAATAACGCATTATATTATAGACCAAAAATAACGTCTTGCAAAATCAATGAATTTCTTTTAGCGATTGAAACATACTGGCAGTTTAATAAAAGTTGTTGCGATGTTGCAAGGCTTCGTGAAAAGAAAAACATTTTTAATTTTCCCCTTTGAAGGCGGCAAACGTTTGTGAGCTATCGATGGAATTGCTTTAAAAACACGCCCTTGGAGACTTTGAACAACATAGACTGAAGGAATAATCTACTATTTACATTAAGACCATAAATAGTCGTTTAATTGAATTATATTATCAGATAATTTTAAAATTATGTTATATTTAATAAATCCATTATAAATTTTCAAAATAAATTTGTATTTTGTTGTTTCAGATGGTGGCGACGGAGGACACGACAAATACTGTACCCGGTCATATCGAGACGCCCGGTACTTTCGGCAAACTGAGGCAGACTCTTTCGTCATCTTTACTCACAGCACAAGACAAAGGCAAGTACATTGAGTAATAAAACATCAATCTAACCACCGATCTGCGGGTGGCACAAGACCAGTCGTCGTAGTGATCTTTGGGGGAGGCCTATGCCCAGCAGTGGGCGTCTCATGGCTGAGAAGAAGAACCACCGATCTACACTGACGAAACAAAGAAAATGAGAGAAATAACTAAGATTTTGTCTATGAACACTAGTTCTAATATTAAAGCTAACATAGTAACAGATATTTAAATAGGAATAATTCTGAGTATTTCTTCAAAAGATTTAGTTTCCTAAGATAAAGACTAGGTTATGTTTTCTTGTACTCCTAAACATCCTGATTGCAAACAAATAAATTATATTTAACTACGAACTTATGTTTTCGTATTACACATATCACTGTATATGTTATTAAAGACGGCAACTCAATTATATTCACATGTATATGTTTTAACAAGCTATTAACGTCAAAGTTAAAATGTTACCGCCGAGTTTCCCACCAAGTTATCTACGGAATTTGCTACAAAGTTAGTAAGGCAATAACTTCACCAAATGCAGGAAATGTTGATTTATAACGCGGGCCCTTCTTCTTAGTTAACGCCGGCATGATATACTCAACTTTTATCTTTTGCGAAAAGCCGACTAATATAATTTAGTTTAAACTAACTATAGAAAATTATGTAAAAAATTTTTCAACATCCTTTGAAACTCGGCGTGCTTATTTGACATGATTTATGTACATGTTATTTACATAGGTGATAGATAAACAAATGAAACTTTCCTTTATATTTATGGACAAATTAAATACCTTTAAAATTAATAATGCAACCAGCTGTTCGCGCGAAATTAAAAAAAATGTGGTGAGTAAGCGAATATGTACTATTTTAGACAATAATTTATTGCTGTACCGAACCATGTACATATGTGAACGCTGTATCCAACCATTTAAACATTCGCATTTAAAATGTAAGTAGTAAGATTAAAATTGTTAAAAGTACTATGACAGTCTTGTCGGTTTCGTATTGAAATCCATTGTGTTCTATCGTTGCAAGCTCTATCAATTTTCTGTCGACGGAAGGTTTAGTCGAATTGAAACTTGACGTCCCAATTACAACTTTGATAGAGCTAATAATTAATCCCTTCAAAGCCCATTTATAGTTGTAATGCTGTTTGATTGTATTTGATTTTCCTTAGTTTCCAACAAACCTCTTATTATATTTGGCGTGACGAAAGTTAGGAGCTTATTAGATACATTGTTCGATTATTAACTTATCTTAGTTTAAGATAGTTAGAAAAAGGAAGCAATGTTTTATGCATTTAATGTATATAATACATAGAATACAAAAGGAAATTTTGCATCTATTTGCAGTAATAATTCACAGAAATCCAAATAATCAAATTACAGTACCATAATTCTTCTTAATAATCATTAATAAAGGCTTAAAAAGTACACGTAAAATGTAAAAAGTAGAAATATCAATCTGAAGTTTGGTAAAATAAGTGCATTCCGGCGATTTCATCCGCTTGGAATTTAAAAGTTTAAAGCAAACTTGCAACCCTTAGTTTACATATTAACATGATGAATTTTAAAAAGCCTGAAATACGTTGTTAATTATTTGTTCCGGACTAGATGGAAGATTATTACAGCATTGAATTATTGACAGCAGGTATATAACATAACTAAATACCTTTCAACTATTTGGTTATAGACAATGAAGATGCCAAAATGCTCTTGAGCATTCCTAGTTACCTCCCGGCACAAAATCAATACGCGCCGCCCGACACCGCCACGCCGGATCACACCGCCAGCCTCCGCAGCTGAGCTATATCCATATTTCATTTCGGTGATAATACCAACCTACATTCGTGAATACATAGCTTACACGTGATGATTTACTTATCGTTTTACGACATATTTATTATTCCAAACTTGTTAACTTACATGCTTTTGCTTTTTAAACCTAATGAAAAGTGTAAGGGAATATATGTTAGGTCAGACTCTACAAGGAAATGTAGGATGTAAATGTAAAGCTAAGAAAACTTGGTTTTTTTTTTTAATTAGATAATTTAACGTAAAAAAATATACTGTTTCACAGTTAAAGCATTTTTGGTGTTTGTACGTATGTATTTAAATTATACCAAGTTTTTGTAGTAATAACAGTTCGGGTGTACGCACATTTATCATATAGGTTGGGAGTTTTCTTTATCATATACATTTTAAATTCCGTTTCTAAATGAATGTCTACATTACGATAAGTTATAATAGCAGTCCAACTATAATGTATTTTAAAATAAATTGTAGCTTATATTATAAGTAGTAAAAGTTTTTTCACGTTGTAAATAAACATTTAATTTAAAAGATATTTGACGAGATAGAGAGCATTCTATGTGCTATTTATTCGAGAAAGAATCCATAAGGCGTATACCTACGAGTAAAGTCAGCGCGTCTCGTGGGATCGCGTATTTCGCAAAATTTCGCTATGAATATTGAGAAATGCTCGTAAATTCCGCTCCGAGCTCCTCTTAGCTGCTATCAAATGCTGCGCGTTTTTGTCCGCCCTTCGTATTATGATCCATATACTATAAAGATGTTCTATAAATTGAAGTGGTTTGCTCTAAATTAATTGAACTGAAATGTCGTTTTATAAGACTAACTTCCGGACTTTAATATTTTTAATAATTACTTAAACAATCACTTAGTGTAGATTTTCATTTTCCTCACTAATCCTACATCATACCACTTAACCGTAAGTATAATAAAAAAAAGTTAAATAGAGAATGCCTAATGTAACTATAGTCACTAAATGATATTTTAAATCTAGATGTGAATCTTCCGTATTTTATTTCACAGTGTCAACGTAATCGAATCTCAGCAATAGTAGCAGTAGAAGACTCCCATAAGTTTCAAACCGAAAGTTTAAAATTTGAAGAATAAACTCTGTAGTGAAACAAACGATCTCAACCCGAGCCGGCTGTAATCTAATTCCCAAGCGCCGGCGACAAATTAAAAATCAAGTTATTGAATTTAACATCAAAAGTATTCCTACTTTCCTCACAAAATGGAAACTTTCTCAGCAAACATTTATCTAAGCCTATGGCGTGTCTCTGAAGTACTTAAGTATTTCTTGTTTGTAAATCGGTACTTTTTATAAAAGAGAAATTTACTTTTATTTTATGTAATATCATAGTTGAATTCAATTGAAAAATGAATTAAAAGTTAATCGCATTTTCTTCTAAAAGTATATTTGCGAGCGTAATTGATTTGCAATACATTCAATGACAATAAATACAAAGATCCACTACAATTCTCTTATAAAAAGGAATAGCCAATCGGTCCATTCAGAGAGAGTATTCCTCATTTATTTATTCAATGGCACGATGTTCCAACCCAACCGCAAATCTTTTATATTTCAGTTATTTCGTAAATATTTTCTTATTGCTGTATTCAAAAATTAATTGTGTATTAATAATAAACATAGCCTGTTGTTACATATAAATAACATTTATTATTCTTTTAATTGAATGGTTCATTTTATTTTTCTTCCCGAATGAAACATAAAATTGATTCGATTTTCAGTAACAAAGCTGGGCCCGAGGCCGGTGGTAGTGGAAGCCGAGCCTCCCCCGGCCGCCCCGCCTGCGCAGCCGCCGCCGCCGCAACCAGCTAAAACAGAACGGTCACTATCAAGATGAATGAATTTTTTATCTCTGATAAATTATAAAAAAATGAAATACCAATGATAACATAATATCCAATTTATGTTTACTATAGTGAGGCAGGCAAGGCACCGTCCCGCGCGGGCGCGTGCCGCGTGTGTCTCAAGGCCCTGAAGCCGGGTGAGGTGTTTCACACGTGCAACGGCTGTCAGCACCGCGTTTGCGAGGATTGCTCCTCCTACTCCAAGCCGGCTGGCGATGACGAGGCGGTAAAATTTTACCATCTTTGTTCATTAAAATGCACGTTCAAAGACCAAGTACTCAAAATTTTCGAGTTTTTTGTATCATTCCAGAGTTCATGGCGGTGCTCGGTGTGCCGGCGCAAGGCGGGACCGCGAGTGCCCCCGGCGGCGCAAGACAGTACGGACTCGCTGCTGGACGTACCGGTACTGGAGGCGCTACAGCGGCGCCACTCGGAGGCAAGACTGGGCGGCGGCGGCGCCTCCACCGGCCTTGCACCACCGCGTTCCCCCGAGTTGCGCAGACACTCCGATGTCTCACCGGCGTCATTAAAAGAATTAGAGAAGGTAATGTTTACGCTTCAAAAAGGTGTAAGTAGATCATTTGAGGCTTCTCACTCAAGAGAGTTAACGCAGGTATCTGCCTTGTGACTTTTTCATATTTGTACGTTTTAAATAAGCTATATGTAGAGATGAACCGTTGAGTTTGTAACGACGCTGCCGCTGCGGCAGTTAAAGGGCGGCGGCGGAGGCGGGGGCAGTGTGACGCCGGACGTGGAGTCGCGGCGAGCCAGCACGGTGTCGCCCGCGCGCCGCCGCTCCGTGCGCGCACCGCGTCAGCGCTCCTGCGACGAGGACCAGCCACAGCCTGGGCACCACGCGCCCGCGCTCTCCGCGCCCCCACCCATGTCACGCAGGTATAAACCGAGAAACTTTATTTTTTTAAAAGCTTTGAAAGTATTGACGGGGAACAGGGAACTCTACATGAAATATTTTAATGAGATATTGATAGATTATAATTTTGTTTAAATTCAGAGCATCTGCCGTGGACGTGGTGGGCGGCGCGGGAGGGCGGCGCAGCTCTTACCGCGTGGAGGAGCCCTCCGACACCACACCGCAGATCACCGGTCTCAGCGTCGATGAAGACCGCCCCATCCGAAGACGTGGCAGTCAATTGTTAGTTGATATTGTTTTAGTGTAATGTAGTTTTAGCTTAATATGTGTACCATACAGAAACGCAAACAATCTACTAAGTTATTAGTACCAGTCCAGACAAATACATGTTTCCAGGCCCGATATTGCGGCCCTGCAGCAACGTACCGGAGCACTAAGTGCGATGGCAGCGCTAGCGTCGCGTGGTGTGGACGCCGAGCCCACGCCCTCCGCAGCGGCGGTAGCGGCTGCTGCAGCTGCTGCGGCAGCCAGGCAGATGTCCGTGGACGCAGAGGCTATCAAGATCGTCATACATGACGTCGATGACCGCACGCCTCGACGGGTCACGCTGCGTCGCGACCCCAATGATAAAGGACACCGTTGTATGCTATCTGTTTCAAATAATACGAATTCAAGCTGTTGTATTAAACTATTGTAACCGTAAAACATGGCATCGGCATTGTTATTTGTTGGATTTAGCTCGAGGTTTCGGCATGCGCGTTGTGGGCGGGAAACCGGACGCGAGCGGGCGGCGCGAGGCCGTCATCGTGTGGACCGTACCTGGTGGGCCCGCGGACCTGGCCGGCTTGCAGCAGGGAGATAAGGTTAAATTTATTATCATAATTACTTAAGACTCTGATCTGACTGACTGAAGATCCGTATAATGCGACCAAGTTAGACTAGCGTTATATCTCTTTTAGTCCTTTTATAAATTTTATCATAAATCTGTGTTGCTCTACCTTAAAACACACTTGTGCATATTTTTGTAGGTACTGGAATGGTGCGGTGTACCGCTGACGGAGAGGAGCTTCGAAGAGGTGTGCGCGGTGCTGGAACGCGGCGGCGACACCGTGGAGCTGCTGGTAGAGCCCGCGCCGCAGCTGGACGACCCGCCAGCTCCCGTGCAGCACCACGCTTCGCACCATCACCATGCACTATACGGTAATGAAGCTAATCCCTCATAAGAAAACAGTACATTTTTTAGTTCAGCTTTAAATAGATTGTACTCAAAGAAATCGAGTTTTCGTACCTTATTGACAAAAAGAAAAGAACTTAGAGTTAACGAAAAGGGTACAGATGAGCCTAGTTTCTTTTAAAAAAACCTATGGTTTGGGAGCATTTCATCAAAGATTTCCAGACACTATATTTTAGAGCAAAGAATTGGAACAACTAATATGAGGTAGCAAATTCGCAGTATGTTACTATTATAATATCTACCTCGGTAGTAAATTCTATACAATGTTCGTTAGTCAGGAACATGTATACCAGACTATTCCTAAAAATGATACATTATTGAAATTAAATGATATATCCCACAATACTCGTTTAGACCATTTCGTAACATTTCAGCTTTATTTATTTGCTATATATTTTTCTGTCTGCACTGTTCAACATTTCTGTGTATTGATTCGTTCCTTCTTTATGTGCTTTCACTTCCTAGCTCCACAAGCTTCGACACTTTCAACTTCTACTCCTTCTTCTTCACGACCTTCGTATTTACGGTAGTAATCTTCATTATTTCTATTAGTTCTTTATAAACTTGTACTATAATTGAGTGAATCATTAAATGTTTTGGATCTATAGGATGTTGTAATTTTTGTTTTACAGAACCCGAAACAGACAAAACACCATCGTCGCCAACCCGACGGAAATTGCCGAAAACCCCGGTATAATACCTATAGGCTTTAATTGTAATAAGTGTTGTGAATCCCTAAGACATTAAGCGACTCGTTCGCGCCCTCATGAACTCTAGTAGAGACTGTCACTCGGTGCCTATTCCTCTGCGCTTCACGGATCACTCACTGTATTAGCTGTGATTTGAAATTTGTTAACCTTTTACTATATTAAAAGGGATACTTTGTTTACATACTCAAGTATATATTTACTTAACATTTAAACTCGATTTGTTATCTTTGTTCCTTATATCCTTTATATGATAATCCTAAGTGAAGTGTGTGAAAAAATACTACCTAATTATTTTCAGATTTTTATTTTTTCTATCACCCGACCAATTTCATAATGTCGCCAACGTCGACGGCCGGAGATGAGTTTATTACACACCCGGCAAAAGTGACCAAATACCATGACACTTTAATGTTTCAGTAAGTGTAGTTTAAAGCTACATTCAGTTCTAGTGTTCGATGGTAGCGTAGGAAACACATCCCGGTATCGAACATCACTTATAGGATATCCGAGGATGAATAGTTTAATTGTCTACCAAACATAAATACGATGTAGTGAAACTAGAGAAGCCGCCGCTTTCAGCTTAGCCGGAAACAAAATACATGAAACATTCAAAAGAGTACTATCAACACTATCGAATTTCGACTTTTCGCAAATAGTAAGTGATTTAAAGAAATTGAGAAGAGACGTTCAGCCCAGCGTGGAGCCAAAGAAGTACAAAATAATAGAAGCGGCCGTAAGGATACGAGGAGCGGGCGAGGTGAGCGCACACCGGGCACGCGCTAGTCTGCCAATTGTTACCATCGCCCTCCATTCGACGCACTCTCCCGTTTGTACCGTGTCATGTCTTGCGCCTCGAGTCTGTTACCGAGTCTTGCTGTTGATTTAGAGTAGTGTAATGCCGCACTTTGTCCGTCGGGACGCTCGGAACGTGTAGCCTCGTAGCAGCTTGGAGGAACACCTTACACGACTGGCGCTTGCGACGCGATCTCTAAATGCGGCTCCTCGCAGCTCGCAGCGACACGCTGTACATACAAGCTCCGTTACTGATTGTAGATCATTGTTACAAGTTATGCAGAGTGACATATGCATGGTTGCACAGTGTGATGTGCATATTGACATAGAAAGCACCGTATTGGACTGAAGCCCTTGCGTGTGACATGAAATTATCATTATACGTCGACATATTTTTCAATAACATTACCTTGTTTATCATTAACCTACATTGTTCAGAAACTAAATGCTTTTAAAATAATTCCTTCGAATGTCAATGATGTTGTGGATGAAATAGATCTGTTCCCATTTGTTTGTCTAAAACGTTATGCTAAACAGTATCTTTCCAGCGTACACTATTATATATAATAAACACTCATCGCATATTCGCTGTAGAACATTCTTTATAATATTTAGCGAATTATAGACAAGTAAGACATTATTTACATAATATTAAATACTACACTTCATAGGGAAATTTGGAAATGGTTATTTTTATATTACTTTGAACATGTGATTCTCTTTGAGACAAGTCATTTTATTTCAACAAGAAATTCAAATCGCAATACATGGGGGCTTGAACCAGTATCAGCATGATACAGCTTTCTGCATGGCGGACGAGTGCGTCAGGTTTTGTTCATTTATGTACAGTCAGCGTCATATAGATCGTCACAGACAAGATATGCAAATATATAGGTACACCAAAAGTATTCAATTATATCGGTACAACAAAAGTCCTCAAATTGATAGATACATTCACCCTGCTCAA